AATCACCATTGAACATCGCACCCCCTGAATTTATGACAGAGGCAAGGTCATTGATGAAGCAGTTGAAGATGGTTAGGCCTAGGACACTACCTTGAGGAACTTTTTCAGAGATGTCAGTGAGCTGAAATGACCAAACAACAACACAACCATTTTCCCTTGTGATAAGTATGGCTCCAATAATTCAGTGCTTTCTCTCTGATTTCTACTGATTCTAGTTTTAGCGGGGTTTTTGATGCCACACTCAGTCAAATGTGTCCTTGATGTCAAGGGCACTTACTCTCACCTCACCTCTTGAATTCAATTATTTTGTCCAGGTTTCAACAAGGCTGTAATGAGATCAAGAGCTAAATGGCCCTGGTGGAACTCAAACTGGGCAGGTTATTGAAGGTTTACTTCATAATACTGTTGATGACACTTTCCATCACTTTTAGATAATCAAGCGTAGACTGATAGGATGGTGAATGGATGGGTTGGATTTGTCTTGCTTTTTGTATACAGGACATAGCTGGGAAGTTTTGTGTATCAAAACAAAAGAACTGCGGATGCTGTAAATCAAAAACAAAAACAGAAGTTGCTGGAAAAGCTCAGCAGGTCTGGCAGCATCTGTGAGGAGAAATCAGAGTTAACATTTTGGGTCCGGTGACCCGAAATGTTAACTCTGATTTCTCTTCACAGATGCTGCCAAGTTTTGTATACTGTTGTGTAGATGCCAGTCTCATTGCTTTACTGGAACAGCTTGGCTCGGGGGCTAGGAAAACACATCTTTGGTATTATTGCTGGAATGTTGTCAGGGGCCTTAGCTTTTGGAATATCCTGTGTCTTCAGCCCCTTCTTGACATCACATGAAGTGAATGAAATTTCCTGATCAGTTTATGGATTTGTGGCACCAGCTGGGACCAGTGTTCTAGGAAACCATGTAACCTAAAGAAGTTGAGAGGGCTTTAAACCAAACAATGACAGTGAGGATTAAACTTGGGTAGATTTAGCTAATCAAGTTGTCGAGTTAAAGCCGGAGAGAAAAATAGTAAAATAGCAAATGAATATCAGACAATGGTAGGAAGGGACAGAAAGAATAAACCTAAGAATTCACCAACAATCAAAACTGAATGATACAAAGGTAATAAAAAGATTAAAGGCTCTGCATATGAACGTGCTTTGCTTTCATAATGTTTATTTATTTCAATGTGTACTCTGTTGTATGATCTGACAGTCAATTATGAAAATTGGTTGCATGATGACAAGAATTGGATCATGAATACTGAGAGGTAGATGACATTTAAGAGGAATAGGAAGCCAGGTAAAGGTGGAGGGATTCCACAGTTTATCAGTGTGGCAATAATCAGAGATTAGCTTCAATGAGGAGAACATGATTGGCTTGGGTAAAGTTGAGGAATAATAGAGAACAGAATTCACCAATGGAGATGGTCTACAATCTTTCTGACAGCAACAACAATTTATCCAGGAACAAACTTTCATTGTTTGTAATAAAAGAACCTCATGGGTGATTTTAATCTGCATATAACAAAAAAAATCAGAGTGGTAAAGCTAGCTTGAGGAAATAGAATGCTTTGGAGATAATTTCTTCGAGCAGCATGGTCTGGAATCAACCAGAGACTAGGTTATACTAGACTTGGTATTCTGTAATGTGACAGGATTAATTAATGACCTCAAGTTAAGGTCACAATAGGCAGCATGAACCACAATTTGATTGAATTTAACATCCAGTTTGAAAGGGAAAAGAGTTAATTTAAGACTAATATTTTAAACTTAAATAAGGCAAACTATATGGGCATGAAAGCTTAGTGATCTGAAGTGAACTAAAATACAATGCAATGAGATAGATAGAAAAGCAAGGACAGACATTTAAGAGGATATTTCAGAATACTGAGAATAAGCATATTCCTACTATAAAGAAAAGTTCTTAGGGGAGGACCCACCATCTATGATTAACTAAGATAGTTAAGGGAAACATCAAACTTAAGTGAAAACACATACTATAATTACACAAAATGAGTGCCGTGTCAAATGACTGGACAGAATATAAAGAATAGCAAAAATAACAAAAAGATACTCTAATTTGTTTTCCTTGATTAATGAGAGGAAACTAGCTTGAAATGTAAAAATAGATAGCACAAGTCTATACAGGGTATTTTAAAAGCAAAAGAGACAGTAATAAGTGTTGATACTCTAGAGACTGAGAATGAATAATTAATAGTAGCTTGAGAGGAAATGGTGAAAGAAATGAATAAGTATTTCGCTTCTTCCTTCACCTTGGAGGATGCAAAAATATTCCGATAGTAGCTGTAAATATGGAGGTTGAAGGGAAAGAGGAAACTTTACAAGGGTCTATGGTAGGCCTTGGCTTTTTATAATTTATATCAATGACTTAGATGAGGGGAGCAAAAGCATGGTCGGTACATTTGCAGATTAACTGAAGAAAGGTGGAAAGGTATATTGTGGAGACGACATAAGGAGGTTGCAAGTAGTTTGAGTGCGGCAGCAAAAACATGGCAGATTGAATGTAATTTGGGGAGATGTGAAGGTCCTTACTTTTGTAAGAAGTATTATAAAGCAGAGTTTTGCCTAAAAGGAAAATAAATACACAATTTCAAGGTGCAAAGGGATCCAGGTGTTCAAATGCATCAGTCAGAAAAGAAGTAGCTAATAAATTCAATCCTTTATTACAAGAGGAATTGAACATAAAAGCAAGGCTATTGTGCTTCATTTTACACGGTATTGGTGAGACCACATCTCAAATACTGTATATATTTCTGGTCTCCTGATTTAAGGAAGGATGTAAGTCCATTCAAGGTGGTTCAGAGGAGATTTACCAGATTCACACCTGGAATGAGTGGGTTGTTTAATGAGGAAAGGTTGGAAGAGCTGGGCTTGTTTCTGCCGAAAATTAAAAGACTGAGGATGACTTGATTGAAGTAGATAAGGTCCTGAACCATCTTGACAAGGCAAACATTAAGATGATGTTTCCTCTTGTGGATGAGGTTAAGACTAGGGGGTACTATTTCAAAGGAAGGGATAATTCCTTTAGGAGAGGGATCAGGCCAATTTTTTCTTTCCCAAGGTGCTGTGAATCTTTGGGGTTACTGAATATTTTCAAAGCCAAGATAGAGAGAAGCTGGTTAGGCAAGGGGCAGATGGGAAAATGGAATATGAAACGTAAACATATCAGGTATGATCTAATTGACTGGTAGATCAGGCTCAAGGGGCAAAATGCCTATTCCATATAGAGTTATAGAGATATACAGCATAGAAACAGACCCTTCAGTCCAACTCATCTATGCCGACCACATATCCTAATTTAATCTAGTCTCATTTGCCAGCATTTGGCCCAAATCTCTCTAAACCCTTCCTGTTCATATGCTATCCAGATGTCTTTTAAATGTTGTAATTGTACCAGCCTCCACCACTTCCTCTGGCAGCTCATTCCATACACGCACAACCCTCTGCATGAAAAAGTTGCCCCTCAGGTCCCTTTTAAATCTTTCCTCTCTCACCATAAACCTATGTCCTCTCAGTTTGGACTCCCCTACCCCGGGGAAAAGACCTTGTCTATTTACCCTATCCATGCCCCCATGATTTAATAAACCTTGATAAAGTCGCCCCTCAGCCTCCGATGCTCCAGGGAAAATAGCACCAGTCTATTCAGCCTCTCCCTATAGCTCAAACCCTCCAAACCTGGCGACATCCTTGTAAATAATTTCTGAACCATTTCAAGTTTCACAACATCCTTCCTGTAGCAGGGAGACCAGAATTGCATGCAGTATTCCAAAAGTGGCCTAAACAATGTTCTGTACAGCTGCAACATGACCTCCCAACACCTATACTCAATGCAATGACCAATAAAGGCAAGCATACCAAATGCCTTCTTCACTATCCTATCTATCTGTGACTCAATTTTCAAGGAATTATGAACTTGCATTCCAAGATTTCTTTGTCAGCAACGCTCCCCAGGATTTTGGCATTACGTATATATTTATATGGAAATCAGGGGGAGCCTATCCATGATCCTGATGGTTAAACAACAACAATTTAACACTGGGTGTAATGATAATGGTGTTAAGGAGAGTCTTTTTCCCCTTGTCAGGAGGAACTACTGCCTTGGAGAACTGCTGACCAACCAATTGTCAGCTGCAACTGGGCACTGTTGAAATTTTTGTCAATCCCTTCACAATGAGGGATTCAGTTAAGTCTATGGTCAGAAATGCAGGGATGATCTTGGCCAGGATGGTTGCATCCAATGGGCTCAGAGGACTAAAGAAGCAGGCGTCCTACTCACCACCTGTTTCCCAAAACCAGACAATTAACTTCAGTTGCACTAGGCTTCTTGCATGGCATGGATAAAATACCAACAGTGGCATGAAGAGGTCTTTAAGTTGCCTTTAATTGCTGGTTGAAACTAAAATTAGAATTTTTAAAAATTTCAGCTAATGCAAAGTATATTGCCAGAGCCTGATGCAGGAAGAATGATGCTAATATTTTAATGGTGAGAACTGGGTGCATTTAACACGTGAAATGAAGTACATTCAGGCTTTCGTTATTACTTTGATGAGATTTAAAGCCTTTTATTATTCTTAGGTGTACATTACATTTAATAAGCATTGCCATTTCACTTAATTTATATTTGTACTCAAAATGAATAATCATCATTAACCTTGCAGCTCAGTCCTTAACAAAAAAGTAAGATATTATGATTTAACCAATAACTTAAATTGAGTTCTGTAGTTTTACTCAGTGAGGTTTAATCAATAGGTAAGCATGAAACTATTCAGTTTTATATTGTTAGCCATCACATAGTCCAACTTCTAACTGAATATCAGAGGAAAGTTATGGAAGGGCAACAAACATTTGCCTTGCCAGCAACAAACAATTTCATAAAAGAATTCACAATATTTTTATTTAGTTAATATCATCACTTTTCAATAAAATCCCTGAACAATATAGCAAGAACTGTATTTGAGAACAATGGCATGAAACATACACACCTGGGAAGGTACACTTTTTGGTGGTTCTATTCGGATTGATGGGTCCCACTCCCCCGGGGGCAAAACAGTCACTTGATCAAGAAATTCATCCACACCAGCAACTAAGTCATTACGATCTTTTGCTTTATATGCAACATCATGAAATACCTGTAATATAGTTGCAAAAACAAGAACCAATTATCCAGAGTCTCTGCACAGACCAATTAGCTGTAATTCAATGTTTCTGTTCCAGTATATATCACTTATTCATCTTACTATTAATGGTAATATGTGTTACAAATTTAAGGATAAGGCTCTGACTAGGATTATCTTGCATCTGAAAGAAACACAATGTTAGCATCCAGTCTAAATGTAAAGAGGCTTTTAAAATGTGTGACATGTAACACCTTTAGAGGAATAAAAAATCCTAATTTTACAAAATCTTAAGGGTTTTTTAAAAATTTCTACGCAAATTGTGATTCTGTGTGTTTTAATTTAAATGTAACATTACTGCTGAACATAGAAACACACAGGAACAGAAAAAAACATTATTTTCCATTTTTCCAGCCAATGGTTTAATATTTATTTAGTTATATATTCAATGCTTTTAAAGTGTGATGGAATCCATGGTTTCAAATTTTGCCATTTTTGTCATTTTCTCATTGAAAAGGGATACTGAGAAAGGAAGCTGACCCTTCCTGATTCACAAGGAAACTTTTGTATGTAATCTCATGCCAACTGCTACAAGTTCATGTTTCAGTCATTTGCTACTATCATTCCCTTTCCTTAATTGGGTCACCAAGGTGGAGGAAAATCAGTTAGGCTCAGAGTCTTAGAGTCATAGAGTTCTACAGCATGGAATCAGGCCCTTTGGCCCAAACTGGTCCATGCCAACCAAATGCCCATCCATGCTAACCCCACTTCCCTGCACTTGGCTCATATCCTTCTAAACCTTTCCTACCCATGTACTTGTCCAAATGCCTTTTAAATGTTGTTAATGTACCCACCTCAACCACTTCTGCTGGCAACTCATTCTATATGCGTACCACCCTCTGTGTAAAAAAGTTGCCCCTCAGGTTCCCATGTACTCTTTCCCCTCTTACCTTAACCTGATGCCCTCTAGTCCTCGATTCCCCAACCCTGGGAAAAAGAGTGAGTGAATTCACCCTATCCACACCTCTCATGATCTTATATACTTCTATAAGATATCCCCTCAGTCTCCTATGCTCTAAAGAAAAATGTCCTGGCTTGTCCAACCTTTTCTTATAACTCAGTCCCTTAAGTGCTGGCAACATCCTTGTAAATTTCTTCTGCACTCTTTCCAGTTTAATAACATCCTTCCTATAGCAAGGTGACCAAAACTGAACACAATACTCCAAATGTGGTCTCACCAAAGTCCTGTACAACTGCAACATAACTTCACAACTTCTATACTCAATGTCCTGACTGATGAAGGCCAGTGTGCCAAAAGCCTTCTTCACTGTCCTGTCTACCTGTGACTCCACTTTCAGAGAACCATGTATCTGAACTCCAAGGTTCCTCTGTTCCACTACGCTCCTTAAGGCCCTACCATTCACCAGGAAACTCCTACCTTGATTTGACTTTCCAAGACGCAACATCTCACACTATTCTATATTAAACTCCATTTGCCATTTCTCAGCCCACTTCCGCAGCTGATCAAGATCCTGCTGCAATTTCTGACAACCTTCCTCATTGTCCACGATATCGCATATTTTAGTGTCATCCTCAAACTTACTAACCATGCCTTATACATTCTCATCCAAATCATTGATATAGATAACAATCAGCAATGGGCCCAGCACTGACCTCTGAGATACATCACTAGTCACAGGTCTCCAGTCCAACAAGCATCCTTCCACTATTACTCTCTGCTTCCTACCATCAAGCCTTAATAAGCAGAAACTTGTGTCTTTATGCTTTATTACATGTTGACAATCCAGTACAAATTAGACATGTTTACAAAACTATGAGGACTACTAGGATAAAGGTTTGTCCTCTTCAAAACCTAAGATAGTCTGACTTCTTCATGTTCCAAATACTTATGACATCATCAGACTGGCTGAAGCTTAATGAAGTCTTCAACATTAACTATTTCAGAAACATTACCTTTTCAACAGCTCCCCTAAGCTTTATTTCTTCAGATAAAATTTATATATTTACGTATTCACCGTTTCAGGCAAAAGTTTCACAATTGTTCCATAATGTACTCTTATTGAACTTGAAAGATTGATAGGTCTTGGCTTGAGGACTTCACTTTGATTTCTGTTCTTGACCCTGCATGATCTGTAAAGTCCCTCTACACTGAAGGACTTTTTAACGCTTGGACATCCTTTGCTGAGGATGTCATACCTGCTAAATCCATGAGTTGGTGCATTACTTAATTTGGAGGATGCTCAATCTCCTGACTTTCTTTTTCAGAGGAACTCATCCCTGAATCAGATACCCCCATGATATCATCTGAGGGTCCTTTAGTCTTAGGAATTTCCTTCAAGTAAGATGGCTACTCTCTGCAAATCTTTTTGCAGTATCCTGAATTTCTGGGCCAGGCAACCACTTCTTCATCATGTCTTGAATCTGTGGACAATGATCATCCCACTGCAGTGTTGGCTCCCATGGAGTCAGATACAACCCATCTTCAATTGGAGCAGAAAATCTCTATTCTAAATCCACAAATACATCTATACTGAAGAATGTAAACTCCATAATTTCTAGATTAGTTTGAAGATCTTCATCCACCCTTTATGTTTCTCTTGCTGCCAAACTCAACATGTTCACAACCGCTATCATGCTACTGGAGGATTGTTGTGCTCTTACCTCTTATCAGTGCTACTGATAATGCTTTCTTTGGTGACAAAGCATTGAAATACGTCTCTTGAACTTGTGTCATCTCATCATCTGACATCAATTTTGTTTTCCTGTTATTAGAATTGTTTGTCGGGCTCCATTGATACCTGAACAGTTTTAGTTAAAAGTTGATAAATGAGCTGTACAACTTATTCTTTTTCAGATAACACAGTATGGAGCTGGAGGAACACAGCAGGCCAGGCAGCATCAGAAGAGCAGGAAAGCGGATATTTTGGGTCAGGATCCTTCTTCAGAAATGGTGGGGGAGAAGGGGGCTCTGAAATAAATAGAGAAGTGGGGGTTGGGCTGGGAAAGGTAGGTGGGATGGTGATTACAGGTACGTAGTGGTGGGGATTGGTCAGTGTGGTGGGAGGAGCGGATAGGTGGGAGAGAAGACAGACAGATCAAGGAGGTGGGGTGAGAGGGAGGGTTGGTCTTGGGATGAGGCCGGGGCGGGGAGATTTTGAAGCTAGTAAAGTCCACATTGAGACCATTGGGTTGGAAGCTTCCAAGGTAGAATATGAGGTGCTGGAGGAGGCCCAGGATGGACATGTCGTCCAGGGAGTGGGAGGGGGAGTTGAAGAGGTATTGTTGTTTGCTGCGAACCGAGCATAGGTGCCTTACAAAGCGGTCTTCGAGCCTCTGCTTGGTCTCACCGATGTAGAGGAGGCCACATCGGGAGCAGCGGATACAACAGACCACATTAGCAGATGTGCAGGTGAACATCTGTCTGATGTGGAAGGTTTTCTTGGGGCCTGGGATGGGGATGAGGGGGGAGGTGTAGGGGCAGGTGTATTACTTCCTGCAGTTGCAGGAAAAAGTGCCAAGGGTGGTGGGGCTAGTGGGGAGTGTGGAGCGGACCAGGGAGTCACGGAGAGAGCGGTCCCTCTGGAAGGCAGATAAGGGTGGGGACGGAAATATATCCTTTGTAGTGCGGTCAGATTGCTGGTGGCGGAATTGGCGGAGAATGATGCACTGAATCCGGAGGTTAATGGGGTGATACGTGAGGACAAGGGGGATTCTGTCTTTGTTTTTAATGCAGTGTGAGAGCTGAGGTGTGGGAAATGCAAGCGATGCGGCCGAGGGCATTTTCGACCACTGAAGGGGGGAAGTTGCTGTCCTTGAAATAGGAGGACATCTGGGATGTTCGGGAGTGGAACGCCTCATCTTGGGAGCAGATGCGGCGGAAGCGGAGGAATTGGGAGTAGGGGATTGCATTCTTGCAGGAAGGTGGGTGAGAGGAAGTGTAGTCTAGGTAGCTATGGGAGTCGGTGGGCTTGAAATAGATATCGGTTTCGAGGTGGTCATCAGAGATGGAAACAGAGAGGTCCAGGAAGGAGAGAGAGATATCGGAGATGGTCCAGGTGAACTTGAGGTTGGGGTGGAAGGTGTTAGTGAAGTTGATGAACTGTTCAAGCTGCTCCTTGGAGCATGCGGCAGCACCGATACAGTCATCAATGCAGCAGAGGAAGAGGTGAGGGATAGAACCAGTGTAGCTGCGGAAGAGAGACTGTTCCACATATCCTACGAAGAGGCAGGCATAACTTGAGCCCATGCAGGTACCCATGGCCTTAGTCTGTAGGAAGTGTGAGGATTCGAAGGAGAAGTTGTTAAGGTTGAGGACGAGTTTGGTTAAGTGGATGAGGGTGTCGGTGGAGGGGGACTGGTTGGGCCTGTGGGAGAGCAAGAAGCAGAGGGCTTTTAGGCTAACTGCATTGGGAATGCAAGTATACAGGGATTGGATGTCCATAGTGAAGATGAGGTGTTGGGGGCCAGGGAATTGGAACTCTTGGAGGAAGTGGAGGGTGTGGGTGGTGTCCCGGACATAAGTGGGGAGTTCCTGGATCAGGGGGAGAAAATCGAGTCAAGATAAGTGGGGATAAATTCAGTGGGGCAGGAGCAGGCAGAGACAATGGGTCAGTCAGGGCAGTCGGGTTTATGGATTTTAGAAAGGAGATGGGAACGGGCGGTGCGAGTTTGGGGAACAATGAGGTTGCAGGCTGTGGGCGGGAAGTCACCTGATGTGATGAGGTTATGGATGGTCTGGGAGATGATGTTTTTCACCTTGTCTGCACCATTTAGCAAACTTTGTTGATTTTTACTGTCTAAACTCCCTTCAATGTTGATAGGAATGGAAGCATGTCTTCAACTCTGTGTAGTTGCAGGTTTCAATTCTGTTGACAAAGTGAAACATTCCTCTTATACCACCATAGATAATCTCACAAGATTGCTTCTTCCTGTTGGGATGCATGCTCAACACTAAGGCTTCTTGATTTTGAACTACACATATATTCTCTACTTTC